TGTTCTGTCCTTTTTTCTTTTTTATTGTGGTCAAGTATACAGGACGTAAAATTTACCATTTTAACGATTTTAAGTGTATATAATTCAGTAGCACTAAGTACATTCATAGTGTTGTGCCAATATCCATTTCTAGAACTTCTCCATCATCCCAAACAGAATAAAACTCTGTATCCATTAAGCAACAACTCCCACCCTTCCCATCCTGCTTTCTGTTTCTATGAATTTTCCTATTCTAGCTACTTCATGTAAGTGGAATCATACAATATTTGTGTTTTTGTGTCTGACTTCTTTCGCTTAGCATAATGATTTCAAGAGCTCTATCCATGTTATAGCACATGTCAGAATTTCCTTCCGTTTTAAGGCTGAATAATATTGTATGGGTATACCACCTTTTGTGTATCCATTCATCTGTTAATGGACACTTGGGTTGTTTCCACTTTTTGGCTACTGTGAATAATTCCATGGCGACCATTGGTATACAAGTATCTGTTTGAGTTTCTGCTTTCAGTTCTTTTGGGTACATACCTAGAAATGGAATTGCTGGCTCAGATGATCGTTCTATGGTTAACTTATTGAGGAACCACCAAGGTGTTTTCCACAGCAGCTGTACCATTTTACATTCCTGCCAGCAGTGCACAAGGGTTTCGGTTTTTCCACATCCTTGCCAACACTTCTTTTATTTTTTAGTTGCCTTCCTAATCTTATGGGGGGTGGTCAGTTCAGCTGCCCGATGCCGTGTTGCATGCCCTCTGCTTGAAATATGGGGGTGCTGGAAGGAGGGACCATTACACTGTAAAACTCACTAGATACTCCACCTTAAAGCCCAGCTGAGGCCATGCCTTACTCGCAAGGAGGAGAGTAGAGGTGTACTTTGGGAGCCTAAAAGGGTGGTCAACCCAGCCTGCCAGGAGCTCCTAAACTCAGAGTGCTGCATATTCTTAAGTACTTCTCATTTTATTTCCCAATTTATTTAAGGCGACTTTACACTAAAATCTTTTGACACGATGAAACCAGAAATCAGAAGCACAGATTAAGTCATGAAGGGCTAGGATTGGAGAAGAATTAAATGAGAAATGTAGGCTAAGGTGAGCTTTTCCGACCAAAGAGGAAAACTAGCTCTCAGCTTCCCAGCAGTCAAAGCAAAGAGAGAAATGCAACAAACTACACAACTTTGCTAAAAGGACAAAAACTGATCAGGAAGGACACTTTCTTTTTCTCTTGGCTTTGGCAGGGCTCGTTGCACAGAGTGGCTGTATTAAGAGAGGTGCAGAGTTTGAGCTTTGCAGTATGACCTGGCTTCAAACCCTGCCTCTCTGTTCAGTTTTCACTTGTAAAATGGGAAAATAGGACCTCACGGCATTATTGTGACTATTACATGTAAGGTGAACTCTATTCGCATCTTAGCACAGTGTGGCGCATAGTCAGCTTTCATGTATTCGGTGCAGCTGCTACTTCTTATTCCACCACCTCTGTCTTGAGTGTTGCAGCCTCCCCTCTGGCCTCCCTGCCTTTGTCTCTGCTTTTTCCAGTTTTCTTCCATGCTCTGCTAAGAAGCTCTGGCTTATTTCCTTTTTATTACAAAAGGTTTCCCCAGCCTAAGTGAACAGACATAATTCTTTCCCTCAATCCTCTCTGTTGTGACTTATATATATTTTTTCTTTCTTATTGTTTTCTTTTAATTGTAATAAAAAACACATAATATAAAATTTACCTTTTTAACCATTTTTAAGTATACAGTTCAGTAGTGTTAGCTGTATTCATATTGTTGTGTAACAGATCTCTAGAACTTTTTCATCTTGCAAAACTGAAACTCTATCCCTGTTAAACTACTCTTAATTTCCCCCTCCACTCAGCCCCTAGCAGTCACCACTCTACTTTCTGTTTCAAGATTTTTACTACTCTAGTTATTTCATATAAGTAGACTCATACAGTGTTTGTCCTTTTGTGACTGGCTTATTTCACTTAGCATAATGTCCTCCAGGTTCATCCCTGTTGTAGCACCGTAACAGGATTTCCTTCTTTTGTAAGGCCAAATAATATTCCATTGTATGTGTACAAATATATACATTTGGGTTTCTTTCGCCTCTTGGCTGTTGTGAATAATGCTGCAATGAACATGGGTGTGCAAATACCTCTTTGAGATCCTGCTTTCAGTTCTTTTGGAAATATACCCAGAAGTGGGATTGCTGGATCATATGATAATTCTATTTTACTTTTAGTTTTTGAGGAACCTCCAGACTTTTTCATAGTAGCTTCACCGTTTCACATTTCCATCAGCAGTACACAAGTGTTCCAATTCTCCACATCCTCATCAATATATTATTTACTGTTCCTCCGATAGTGGCCATACTAATGGGTGTAAGGTGATATCTCATGGTGGTTTTGATGTGCATTTCTGTAATGCTTACTTATGTTGAGCATTTTTTCATATGCTTATTTGCCATTTATGTCTTCTTTGGAGAAATGTTTATTGAGGTCCTTTGCCCATTTTTCAGCTGGGTTACTTGTTTTTTTGTTTTTGAGTTGCAGGAGTTCTTTATATATTCTCGATATTAACCTCATATCAGATACATGACTTGCAGACTTGTATTTCTTTAGAGAAACACAGATCTGATTATGTTGCTTGGCCAAACGAAAGTGGGATTGGTGGCCTTTATTTTATTTTATTATTTTTTATTTATTTATTTTTTCCTTTTTGTCTTTTTTCGTGTCCGGCAACGGACCGCAACCCTCAGTGTCGTGCCCGTACCGGACCGGACCGGAACGGGATCGCAACCCTCGGTGCTGCGCCCGCACCTCGCTCAGCCAGTGAGCAGGAACCGGTCTGTATGTGGGATCCGAACCCTCGGTGGGAGTGCCGCCACGCTCCCAAGCGGCGCACTGTAGCAGTGCGCCACCGGGCCGGCCCGCGGGATTGGTGGCCTTTAAATTCTGCTCAGCTCAGTCTTTTACCATGCCTGGGTGACTTTAACCTGGCCATTCACCTTTTGAGCTCATTTGCTCAGAAATGGGGGTGGAAATAATTGTACCTTTCTTTAGGACTGCTAGAAGACTAAGAATGTGAACTACCTAAAGATAGGTTGTAGGATCTCCTATGTGTTCTGTAATCAGTGCCATTTACTACAATTTGTCACCATGATAGAAGACTTATGGCCTCTGACTCTTTATGGAAGGTCAGGACCAATATCAAGTTCCTTTTCCCTGAGTCCCATATTTAATCTCCCTCCCAAATAAGATTGACATCAGCTGCTTCATATCTTGCTTCGACCAAAGTACGTGACACCCTCCCAGTAAATAGGTGTCAGTTAGTGTGACCTCAGTCTCATCACCACAGTTGTTGTCAACTCTTGCTCTCGCTTTTTCACCTGTGTGTCCACAGTGCACATGAGAGTGCCCAGTTCACAGTTAGTACTTCATAAATTTGCTTAGGGGATTGTGGGAGGGGTGAGGGCAGGGTTCAGGAGACAGCCTGTCTAGGAAGCTTCCAGAGCAGAGCTAACTTTATATGGAAAGCTCTGTGAGGAGTGTCTTTCTATGATGTTTTTTCTTTCCCCTCTTTGAAGAAAGAAGAGAAGGTGAAAACTCACCATCCATCTCCAGGCACATACTCTTCTCGTTAGACATAGGCCTTTGTTCCAGGGAAGTCGGCGTCTGTGGTTGTGGCCGCCCCTCTGATGTGCTGGGCAGGCCTCCAATTTAACTCAGGATGCAGTACCCCACTGCAAGGTTCTCCCTGCATCGCTGGAAGGTTTTTGGGGGTAGAAGTGTATTTGGACCACGAAAACTTTGATCTTGTCGGGTAGTGTAAAGTTTCATTCATCAGGTCAGTGTTTTGCCTGTTTTGACTTTGAGGCTTTTTCTTTTTTCTTTTTTTTTTCCTTTTTGTCTTTTTTACTGACCGGTAACAGGATCGCAACCCTCAGTGTCGCACCCGTACCGGGGACCGGCAATGGGATCGCAACCCTCGGTGTTGCGCCCGTACTGGGGACCGGCAATGGGATCACAACCCTCGGTGTTGCGCCCACACTGCGCTCAGCCAGTGAGCGGGAACCAGTCTCCACATGGGATCTGAACCCTTGGCGGGAGCGCCGCCGTGCTCCCAAGCGGCGCACTCTCCAGTGCGCCACCGGGCCGGCCCTTTGAGGCTTTTTCTAACAGTTGATACTTTGGCAGTTCTAGAAAGAACTCTCTCCCTCTCCATTTTCTCCCTACCTCCAGTCTTTCCTTTCTCCCCATCCTTTCCACCCTGCTTCTGTCCTATTGTTCTGTCTCTCCCCCTTCCTTTCCTTCCTTTGTCCCACACTTTGAAGTCTTCTTATTTTTACAGATTATCTCATATCTCTTAACATATCATTTCCCAAATGATTTTGTGGATCTATTACTCAATCAGAACTCTCTATAGCTGTGTGTGTGTGTGTGTGTGTGTGTGTGTGTGTGTGTGTGTGTGTGTGTGTTGGTTATTTCTTTAACAAAAATGGAGTGCACTAGAATAGATTCTGACAGACCAGGGTTTGAGCTGCACCTCTAACACCAATGCTGGGACTTCCTGCACACACAAGAGGCTCTTGTAAGACGAATTGCTTCTCTTCCCACACCTCATTTCCCATCTGTGAAGTGGGCCTGATGACAGCCCCCTCCTTACTTGGTGGACATGAGGATTCAATGAACCAGTCCATGCTGAGCTCTCAGCCCAGGCAACTGTCATTTCTAGACTTTCTATAAAAACTTGCCACCTGCTTTTTTCATTTAATAATCTAAAGGCAATTTAACTGAGTGTCTTTGAGCTGAATCACTAGTAGCCACAGCAATGCTCTCATCCGGATGTTCCACCAAGTCCATTATGGTCTGCAGAGACCCCCTGCCAGGATCTGCCCCTTTACTGGGCCCTCAGTGTGGCCTGACTTCCATGTAACCCTCAGGACTGGCCTCCAGCCATCTGAAGAAAGCCAACTGTGAATTTTCCAGAGTTCTCATACATGTACTTGTCTTCTGTCTTGCAGCCGATGCTTTTTTCAAAGCTGCTATCAGCCTCATTCCAGAAGTTCCAAAGATGATCAATATTGATGGAAAGATGCGGCCATCAGAATCATTCCTTCTGGAATTCCTCCGTAATTTCTTTTCTACTTTATTAATAGTGCCGGTATGTTTCCACAGAAGAGCCACAGGAGATGTCTTTATTGACTTGCCTTATAGTATATGTATTCTTAGGCCTAAAAGTGTAGGAATGTTCTGTCTAACATTTATGTGTTGGTTTTCTGGTTAGATGTTTGAATTGCTCAATGAGTTTTCCATTTATGCTGTATCTGGGCTGTATTACTTGAGGTGTACTACTTGAGGCAAGCTCTCTGGTCTTGTGGGTAATTGATCCTCTGGACCTAATTACCTCCCAAAGGCCCCACCTCCAAATACCAGCACAATTGGATTAGGGTTTCAATATATGAATTTGGGAGAAACACAGACATTCACTCCATTGCACTGTCTATACTGTCAGGGTAGGGGTGTTGCTTAGTGGTTATGGGTGCAGGCCTCAGGACCAAGATACCTGGGGTATAATCCCAACTTCTCCTCCTCTTAGCTCTGCAGTTCTGGATAGTCACATAATATTACTAGGCTGCTGTTTTCTCATCTAGAAAATGGGGATAAGAATAGCATCTACCTGTCTAGGGTATTTTGAGGATTAAGTGAGTGAATACACACAATGTGGTCAGAACAGTGCCTTGGCACGTAGTACTATCAAAGGTTATGGGGTGGTGAAGTTCTTTTGATGGCAGGTAATAGAAACCAAAACAAGATAGCAGAGGTCAAAAGGGACATTGTTGTAAGGATGCTGGGTTTCTTGTGGAATATAAGAGATGAGCAATCAGGCTTGGGAGGAAAGGAATCAAGACCACTGTAGGGACCCAGCAATAGGAATCCTGTACCCTCTCCCTGGGAGGGGTTCTTAACCCATGTTCCACCTACCCAATGGGGACCTGGCAGAATAACCATGAATGTGGGTGAGGAAAAAAAATTACATTTTTATTTTCCCAAACTGAGTGAAATTTACCTTTCACTCAATTATGAATTACATGCAACAAGCCATAGTAGTAGTAGCAGTAGCTGGGACTTTGTCACCAAAAAATCAACAAATATGTTCATATCACTTGGCAGGTGTGAAAGATATTCCAGAAGATTGTTTATGCTCTTCCTTCCTGAAAAAGCACAGTAGTTATTAGGCCCCTTGCTAAGTCAAGAGGCAATGGATTATAATATCACAAATACATTGAAAAATATTTTGACAGCTGTATTTTGGTGTAATTGGTTTCCTTTGTAGTCTTAGATATTTTATTTTTTGCATTGAAAATAGTACTCTGAGGAGTCCATAGCTGCTTCACCTGGCTGCCACAGGGTCCCTGGCACAAAACAGGTTAAGAATCCCTGGTGGAGCCAAACGTGCATGGGAATCACTGGACGCTTTTTAAAATGCAGATCCCTGGGGCCCGCTCTCAGAGAGTTTCACTCAGTAGGTTGAAACAGGCCCCTAAATCGGCATTTTTGAAAGCCCCCTCAGTGATTCAGGTGCAGGTGGTCCTAGGACCACACTTTGAGAAACTTCATTCTTAACTTGGGCCATAAAAGTGACTCAGCTCCCATGGGTGAGGGCTCCCTTTTGGGGTGATGAAATATCCTAAAATTCATTGTGATGTTGATTGCACAGCTCTGTGAATATACTAACAATCATTGAATTGTACATTTTAAATGGGTATATTGTGAATTACATATCTCAGTAAAGGAGAGAAAACAAAAACTGATTCAGCTCCCGACTCTCCCTGTTCAAATTCCAAGTTCTCAGGAGAGAGGATCAGGAGGCCAGGCCCAGAGACTGCAGACAGGGCTGCAGGTTGGGGACCTCCCCATCCAAAGGCCCCACCTCCAAATACCAGCACAATTGGGGCAGTCCAGAGTTAGCTGGGTACAGCCACAGAGCATCTTCTAGAGGCCTTCACTGACACTTGATTCAGTGTTTTCAAATCCCCCTATTAGTACTTTATAATCAGTTTCTCACCTCTTGGATAATCTTATTTGTCAAGTGAGAGGACAGAAGAAAATCAGGGTTTCCAATGAGGAGGTTGATAGAAAGCATTGTTCATTGGTTAATTAGGATGCATTTACCTTTTGCATATAGGGTTTTCTGCATGTTAAAAATAACTGGAGCCTTTTTGAAAAGCTTTATCCTCAAGTCAGATGTTCAGTCCTGACCCGATGACTTCATAGCTCTGGGAACTTGCAAAAGTTTTGTAGCTCCTCAGCGCCTCGGTTGTCACCTTTCTAATATGTCTTCAAAATGCCCACCTCTCAGGATTGCTGGAGGGTTGGATGAAATGATAGCTTTGAAACTGCTTTGTAAACTAGAAGCTCTGTCCCTGGGGCTACAAACTGGTGGCAAGAGGGTGAAATCCTGCCCACAGGCATGCTTGCTGGCCATGTAATGGTGGCAAACATTTGAAATGAGCTTCCCGCGTTTAAAAATTGGTAGATGACAGAAAAAAACCCAAATTTGTAGTTCCCCTTGAAAAATCAGGTCCTACACGGGGCAGCGGCTCCCCCAGGAGGCCAACTGGCCGGGTCACAGACAGGGGAGTTCCCTGAGAAAGTGCTGTTTGAGCTGAGATCTGAAGGAAGACTGGTGAGTAGTTAATTAGGTGCAGAGGGAAGCAGAGAGGGCGTTCTGGGTGGAGGGCACAGTGTGGGGAAAGGGAAGGAGCACTGTGTAGCAGAGGGACTAGAAAAGAGTCACAGTGATTAGCACAGGGAGGATGCAGGGGACACCCAAGGAACTGGTGAGACAGACAGGGGCCTGTTGCTGCTGGAGCAGCTGGGCAGACGAGATGAAGAGTAAGCTGGTCCCTGACAGCCTTCCATCAGATGATGACCTGTGTGCTCTCATCTTCCCTTGCTGTCCCACCTCCTCCATTTCCCCAAATCCCCCTCTGAATGTCTGTGCTCAGCAGCAGTCTTTGCTGCCATTCATCTTGACCCTCCTGGGAAGTTAGTTGCTTCTAGGGTGTTACTGCTTTTCCCAGGATATGAGCTAGAATTCCTGCAGACCAGAGACCCAGAGGATATTGCTAATGGTGGGGGGCAGGCCATGTGGGAGGAAGGTTTGAGCTCCTGCCATTGCCCCCTGGGAGCCACCTGGTCAAAATTTTTTACTCTGCCTGGGAGGTAGCCTTGCCAGGGACACCAGGGGAAACCTTTTCCCACTGGAAGTGCCATCTGAATCCAGGGTCACTGCCTTTTAAAAAAACCTGTGTCTGCCTTGCTTCAGTTGTTGGCAATGAACCATTTAAGTACAACTTTTTTGAAAAATGTTCCAACCACTGAAGCATGCATATGGCGTGGAAAGTTTTTCCCTTGTGCAGAAGGTTGGAAATAATCTTGCCTCTTTGGTTACGAGCGAAAGCTCACGGACATGGCTCACTCCAGACCTTTATGTCTCTACTACCCCTTGCTCCACCTCTTTGAAGGTGTGTTGAATGGTCTCCCTCAAGAGTTACGGTATTTGTGTTGAAATTAAGTTACTGGTTCCATTGTCTATTCCCAAGGCAGATCTTTAAATAAAATATATTTTTGAACGTGCACATAGCAGAACAAAATAGCCTTGTTAGGAACAGCTGTTGTGAAGGTAGACTGTAGTAAGTTCCCAGCTGAGACTGACTGTAAATGGAAGGCAGATCACAGCAAGAAAAGTCACCACAGCGTAAGCAACTTTGATGTGTGTAGTTTGAGGCATTCAGACTTTGCTGAGCATCGCGCGTCCTCTTTCTTGCTCACATCCGAAGAGAAATTCCTGTAGATGTTAACGGCTTGTACAAACCATCTCCCACCCCTCCACCCCTCCTTCTCACCCACTGGAAGCATTTCTGCTGCATATATACATGTTCATGTTGGATTAGGCCGCTCTTAATTCCCACCTTCCTCAGCTACAGCACTTCTCATACTCCATGCTTCTAGTCAGAATAGTTGACTATTGCATCTATATTTCACGTATGTTTTCCCCAATTCTCAAGCTCTATAAAGCCAGAGACATGCCTAGTTCATCTGTAGAGGGACAGTATAAACATAATGTCAGTAGTTAGGAATGTCCACTCTGGAGCCAGACTGTTGGGGCATGGACTTGGGTTCCCCACGTACCAGCAGTGTGAGCGTGGGCCACTTCACCTCTCTGTGTGGCTCATTCCCCATCTGTGAAATGCGGGTTTATGATAATATGTTCCTGGAACATAGAAAAGCTATGGGAGCTACCATAAATCTTAGATATTGTGACTCATTTTTGTAGTTACCTCAGTGCCTGGCACATAGGAGGTACTCAGAAAATGAAATCCACTCAGCTTTAATTACCCAGTGCCTGCCACATGCTCAGCACTGTCCCCGGAGCAGGGACAGGGTTGAATTGCACATCATCAGGGGGCACCACTAACAGAATACAGTATGTGGCTGGGCAGCCGTGCAGCATATTGACAGACACAGCAGATGAAGTACCTGTCCTCCTGGAAAGGTGATAGGCCATCATGAAAGAGAGAGAAATAGGCAAACCACGTGATACTGTTGGGCAGTTAACCAAGGGAATGAATAAAATCATTTCAGATGGTGGGAAGTGCCTTGAAGAAAATAAGCCAGGATGGTTTGTGATGAAGAGAGACTTGTGGAGGCAGTCAGGGGGCTCTGGAATGACAATCAGGAGAGGACTTGATGAGGAGCCAGCATGTAAGAGGAGGACTCAAGGCTGTTAGGGAGCTGGCCAAGCCCTGGGGGCAAAGATTCCACCCAGAGGAACAGTCAGGCAGGAGGCTGGAACATCCCAGAGGTGTGTGCCGGCCTCCTTGTGGCGTCCTTTGCCCTTCTGTCCTGCTGTGTGTGTGGGTAGGTGGGGGCTGGCTTCTGGGGACTGCATCACCTGGCCTGCCTTCCTTCTTTCCTTCCTTCTGGCTTCCAGCTTTTTCAGCTGACAGGAGGTGCTGACAAAAGAGTGGAGAGCAGGAGGAGAGTGAGGTTGGAGTATTCCTCCCCACATGTACCTTTTTGGAACTGAATTGAAGCTGCTCATTTTTTTGCATCCTGACACTTCTTTTAGATTCAGCTTAGCATCTGAGATACGTTGTTTGCTTATAAACTCTGTGACTTTCTCTTGGACTTCTCCTCTCCCAAGAGATCATCCTCAACTTGGCTGTTACATTATTGAACGTCCTAAAGAGCAAGGCTGTACTTAAAATTGGTGCCTCGAGTGGCAACAGTGATCATTTGGGACTTACCCAGCGTAGGTGGCTTCTGCTGTTGCATCTGCCATGAGACCCACAATCTTGCTTTTGTAGTCAGCAGAACAGGACTTACTTTTTTTACTGCTATGCACAGAAAAACAAGAGTATAATTTTGGAAATAGGCCATTAAGCTGACAGGTAGCTTTGCTTTCTCAGTCCTCAGGCCGAAAAAGGGAGGCTCTCAAGCTTATTTGCCCAGATGAGTATACTAATTAGTGGGAAAAACACTTTGTCGTTTTCCTCTGTATCGTTTAACCAGGCTTATGAGTGGGCCTTGCCTTTGGAAAGTCATTGGCACTTTAACTAAAGTGCTAAGGGAAGGCCCTGGGTTTCTGTGTTGAGTTGGTTTTTCTCCTAGTTTCATCTCTAGGATTATTTCTCCTTTTTTGGTTCTTCACTAGGATCATCCTGAACATGGGGTCCTGTTCCTTGTCCGAGAGCTCCTCAACGTGATCCAGGACTACACCTGGGAGGACAACAGCGATGATAAAATCCACGTCTACACCTGTGTCCTGCATCTCCTATCCGCCATGAGCCAGGAATCCTATCTCTACCACATAGACAAAGGTAGTGGAGGACCCTCCCTGCAGACCTCGCTGTGCTTGAATTTCATGAGAGGCAAACGGAATGTTTTCATTTTCTCTTTTGTTTGTTTTCCCCTTGCATTTTACCTTCCATGAACTTCTAGTCCAGAGTTTCGCTAAATTTGCCTGATTTAAGAATTACCAGGGGCAGTTCTTTTTTTTAAATCTTTTTTTTAGTTTTGGCAGCTGGCTGGGATGGGGATCTGAACCTCATGAGTACAGATTCCTGAGCGCCATCCTGCCCTTCTAAATTAGAATCCCTAGGACGAGGCCTGAGAATGTGGATCTTTAACAAGCACTTGAGATCATTTTGACCATCAGACAAGTTTGGAGAAACACTCTTTTGGATCAAAATAATCCAGAATGATGGCTAAATACACACGTGTGAGCTTCATCCCAGTCCTGTTTCTAACCAGTGTCTGGTGGGACCCTGGCATGGGTGTTTGTAACCTGCTCTTCAGGTGATGCCAAGGCTCAGCCAGCCCTTAACTTAGGTGCTCTAGAGGAAAGAGATTACCTGCTACTGGCCTTTTGAACTTGCTGGCACAAATTTGGGAACAGCTTCCTCATGTTCTGGACATTACATGGGACAGTCCCAATTCCAGGCCTTCTTTCACTGAGCCTAACTGTCCTCTTACTTGTAAGACCCTCAGTTCCAAGTTTTGGTTTCCGAAAAATGGCCCTATTGTTAAAAGCTGCTTTGGCCAGTAATTGTATACCCTACAGTTTAAAAAACTGTCTCTGCACTTGGAAATTGTAGTGAATAAATTTGGCCATCTGTCATCATTCTCAGAGGCTTTCTCCAGGTGGGATTTGGAGGCTGACGATAAAGGTATAAGTTAGGGAGACTGGTTAATGTTGAGAATATGGCTACTGTGACCTGACACCTCCCATATGCCAGGCACTATCGCCCACTCTACAGGCCTTTTTCTCCTTGTAACAAGCGTTTGTGTCCCTGTTTTACACATAAGCAAGGGAAGACTCAGAGAGACGATGTGATTTACTCCAGCACTCCTGGCTAGTTAGCGATGGAAGTGGAATTCACACCCAGAGCTGCAAGACATACATTGTGCCTCTTCCTTGATTACAAATCACAATGTTTTAATTAAAGTTTAACATATGACATACATATAATAAACTAAAATTCAGTGAATGATCACAAAGTGAACACACCCAGGTAACCTCCACCCAGATCTAGGAATAGAAGACTACTAGTTCCCCAAAAGTCTCCTGCATGCCCCGTTCCACTCAGCACCCCTGACTGGTGCTCCACTAACAGCACCTCATCTCCAAAGGCTTGCCACTCTCCTGACTTCTAGCATTATCAATTAGTTTGCCAGATTGTGAATTTGATGTAAATGGAATCATTTAGCAGTCATTCTTTGGTGTCTGGCTTCTTTTACTCAGTATGATGTCTGAGATTCATTTTTGTCATCGTGTGTAACTGTGGCTCATCCTTTTGCATTGCTGTATAGTATTCCATTGTGTGAATATACCAGAATTCATTCATTCTCTGTGGATGGACATTTGCATGTTTCTAGTTCCAGTTTAGGGTTATTATGAGCAGTGCTGCTATGAACATTCTTGAACTTATTTCTTGGGGTACATTCCTGTTGGCTGTCTGCCTAGGGGTGGAATTGCTGGCTCGTAGGATTTGCTTATATTCACCTTCTGTAGATACTGCCTCACAGTTTTCCAAAATGGTTATACCAGTTGACATGCCCACTGGGCATGAATGAGGATTCCATTTGTCCTGGGTATGGTCAGTCTTTTTTATTTCAGCCACTCTTATGAGTGCAATTTGCATTTCTCTGATGGCTAATGAGGTTGAGCCCCTTTTCCTATATTTGTTTACATTTGTATTTCCCCTTTTATGACATGTTCATTGAGGGTTCTGAACAATAGAGAGAGGTTTGAGGACGAGACAGGGACATGGAGGTGGGCCTGCCAACCACAGGACCTGTCAGAGGAGCCTGTTCCACCCTGCCCTCTCCTCTCTCCACTCTTCCTCATGCAGTCAGTGAATCCTCCCTCTGAACCAGACTGCCAGAGCCAGATCTCTAGCGAAGGGAGTGAGACTATATTTGGTAGGCAGCAGTCTAGTTTTCTAGCTTTTAGAGATGAAATCAGGAGGATGGATTTTCTTTTCCTTCTTGGGAGCCCAGCTGTGTGTACTTTGGATGCACAATTGTGACCTGACAAGCATCTTAGTGGGAGAGACCCAGGGAGCTGCAGGAAGCTCTGCAGGATTTGGGGGCTCTATTTCCCGCTTCCTTTCTTATTCCAGGCAGGCTTTTAGACAATGTTGTCACAGCTTAGAACTTCTGAAAAAACAGAGGATAAATAAGGTTTGCATTTATGAAGGATGCCTTGGCTGCTTTCTTTACAGAGTAATAGAAAGCGAATGTTCTGACATTACCTAGGGCAATAACTCCAGTGCTTTCACTCCAGCTTGCTGAGAATGCGCGTGTTTGATGTGGCAGTGAAGAATATTCTTGGATACCGAATGTTTGTTTATTTAATGTTCAGATAGAATATACCTTTGTTGGAAGAGTACAAGCCAGGAGCTTCTGTGAGGCCAACACAGTCCCCTTCACTCTTACTCATCACCTGCCAAGCCCTCGAAGCATTCAGGTTTGTGACCCCAGGTTCAGACAGATGCAGAGACCATGGGCTATCTTGGGTGGCCCTTTGCCAAGGACCTCATCTCTCCCCCTTGTGACAGCCTGGACTCACAGGCCCATTCTACACTCTGGCCTGACCAAATTACTTCTAATTCTCCAATTCCTTCTTTTCTCCTCTCTCTCTCTGACCACCAAGTGTTAGTGTGGAGAACTCATCTCCCCGCTCCTGACCCCCCTCTTACCACTTTCTCTAGTGCATTCAACCTTCAGAGCTCAGCCTCTCACCGGTTTCAGAATTCCATCCCAAGCCCGGATTTTAGGATCCCATGACCCCCATATGGCCCATCCTGACACACAGCACACATTATTGTCATTGTTGTTTGCTTCTCTGTGTCTCCTGATAGATTGTCACCTTTGGGGTCCCCAGTTCCCAGCCCAGAGAGTGGTGAGGAGCAAGCCCTCCTCATTCCATGGGGGCTCTGTGTGAGCTAGTGAGATTCCTGCTGTGGACACATCTCTGCCCCTCCGGGTGATTGGCCTTCCCTTCTGCCCCAGTGCAGGGCTGGTCAGACAAGAGTAGACTCCAACCCAGAGGAAGACTGGGAATTTATGCCAGGAACTATTCTGGGCCTCAGCAGTAGATGTGAGAAATTCCTTCACCAGCTGTGGTTCTGCTGCCCTGCCAAATCAGGTGGTGGTGAATGGCTGAATCAAATTCTTTTAAGAATAACTTGCAAGAATAACTACCATCTTCTACATCGGAGGCGACACAGCAGCCAGAGCTGTCTTAGAAATCCCGGGACTGACCCCTGCATTGACCCCTGGACCCTTTACTACCAAGCTGGTGGCAGTGAGCCTGGGACAGTATCCCCAGAAGAGTCTCCATAAAAGGGCATTCAGGACTGGATTAGGTATCACCTGCAGACAGAGAAGCTGGGGATCATGGGAACCAGTTCTCCTTATTTTTAGCTAGTGTGTCTGCAACCTGCTTTCAGATGGGTCAGCCGTGTGTGTGTGTGTGTGTGTGTGTGTGTGTGTAGAGAGAGAGCAAATGAGACAGCTTGCACTAAAGTAGCAAAGTGTTCTCGATTAGTGATTCAAGGTGAGAAGTAGGCAAGTGTTCTTAGCAGTGTTTTTTTCTACTTTTCTATAGCTTTAACATTTTTCAAATTAAAAAGCTGGGGAGGTGCTGGCTGGTTAGCTCAGTTGGTTAGAGCATGGTGTTATAACACCAGGGTCAAGGGTTCGATTCCCATACTCGCCAGCCACCAAAAATATATATATATATGTCTGGGGAAAAAGGAAAAATGAAGAGTTATTGTTCCTGAAATATCAACTAGAAATGAACATAAAGCATCCCTGAAATTATTTTATCAATTAGTTTATCACTGTATGCTTACACCTGCTCTCTCCCCCAAAAGATTCAAGACAGACTACAGGAAATACATAAAATAATGAAATATAATTTTTAAGTTAAAAACATTGGTTCTTAGGAAATTGTAAGTTAGGAAATATTTATAGATATAATGTCAAGGGGCTCTACTGTTTTTTATTGGCAGTGTATTATAACTATCTTTTTGTTATAGTACATTGTAGCAGTAGTAGAACTGTAGAACATGTACTTTTACACCACAGAGCATTTGATCAAAACTCTACTGATGGACAGTATGTTGCTTCTGGTCTCATCATTATAAACACCAGTGCAATGAACATCACATACATGCATCTTTGTGCTTCTGTTGGATTATTTTCTTAGGATAAATCTCTGGCAGTGGGTTTTCCAAGTTAAAGGACCTGGACTTTTTTTTGTACTAAGACTTTATTTATTTAATTTTCTGTTGTGGTGAAATATACATAACAAAATTTACCATTAGGTGCACAATTCAGTTTAATCAAGTACATTCCCAGTGTTGTATAACCATTACCATTATCCATTTCCAGAATTTTTTCATCATCCCTAACAGAAGCGCTGTACCCAGTAAGCAGTAACTTTCCCATCCCCTCCTCCCCTAACTCCCAGGTTACCTCTCTTCTCCTTTCTGTCTCTATGAATTCGATTACTTTAGATACCTTATATGAATGGAATCATACAGTATTTGTTCTTTTGTGTCTGGCCTGTTTCACTTAGCATGATGTTTTCACAGTTCATCCATGTTGTAGCATGTGTCAGAGTTTCCTTCCTTTTTAAGAGTGAATAATATTCCATTGTATGGATGTACCACATTGCTTATCCATTCATCTGTTGATGGACATTTGGACTGTTTCCACTTTTTGGCGATCATGAATAATGCTGTTTCATGTACGCATATCTGTTTGAGTTCCTGCTTTCAGTTCTAGAATGGGAATTGCTGGATCAGATGGTAATTTATGTTTAACATTTTGAAGAACCACCATGTTGTTTATTTTCCACAGCAGCTGCTCTATTTTACATCCCCACCAGCAATGCACGGAAGTTCATTTTGTCCTTATCCTCACCAATGCTTGTTTTGTTTTGTTTCATTTTGTTAATAATAGCCGCCCTAATGGGCATGAAGTGGCACTGGACATTTTTAAGGCGTTTTATACTCCCGCTACTACTCCAAACTATTGTCCTCCCACCAATATAGTTTTTCCAGACCTACATCAAAATTGAGTATTATTTTTTCACCATTGCTAATATAAGGGATTTTTTAAAAATCTAAAAAGTTCTTCTGTGGCTTTAGTTTTCTGTTCTTTGATTACTAGTGAAGTCTGGTTTTTTTCCCATAAAACTATAGGCCAGCTAAATGTATTTCTGATGCATTGACTGTTGATGTGTTTGCTTATTTTCCTATTAGTAACTCCAAGAGGGATCACTTTATTAAAAGCTCAGAGGCCATCCCTGGACATCGTACCTTGGCTTTTCTTGGTCTTCATGACAAGTGTCTGTTGAACATGATCCCCCATTTCTGTAGCTCATAGCCAGTGGTCTGGTGAATATTTCTGTATAGACACTGTCAGGTGGCTGTGACTTACACCAAGATGGGTCTATCTGTTGCAGATTTTGCTCTCAGTCTTACCTGTCTGCAAATGAAACCTTGTGCCATTTGTCCTAGACTTGTACAACTTCACAGACACTTCTGTGTTTCTCATAAATATTTTCACTTCTGAGTCGTGTATATATGAGACAGTAACCTTCCCACTTGTTTCTTAGAGACAGTGATAAATACTCTTTAAATGGGGCGAGAAAAGCACAACAAATTACATTCCAGCAGATAAGCAAGCTCGACTGAACCGGATTCATTAAAACTGTCCCTAAACTACAAAACCAGATTAGCCCGGTGCATGTGTGGCTGTTTGTGCACAGCCACACCCTCCTGAGTTACAGGCATGGCCCCTGGTTGATCAGATGTCACTTCACGTGGGACAATGGCCCTAATTGTACCAGATCAGAAGCAGCGGGAGCTGCCATGGCCATTTTCCTCCTTCTGACCACTCAGCATGGCATGGGGCTCAGTTGCTGAAGCGAATTGTTCACTCTGGGTTGGGACAACTACGCTCGGTCACGTACAAGTCAGCTGGGATGAAATCAACTAAAAACAGATCTGGAGAAAAGGAGCATAAGCTCATGTGAGTGTGTAGGGAGAGAACCAACTCTGCGAGGCAGAGGGGGTGGTTTCGTAATGGACTCTATGCTTTGTAGCAGGCTGGCCCTAGTCCAAAAAGAAAGAAAGAAAGAAAAGAAAAAAGAAAGTAAAGCAACTTGAGTGTCCTCAGTAGGGGCCACCTAAATACATTTGAGTCCATCATGCAGTGGGATACTGTTCAGCCATGGTGAGCAAAGCAGCCGATCTGTACATGCTGATATGGAAATATCTCCAAGATTTACCATTAAGTGAAAATGGCAAAGTGCAAAGCAGCGTGATGTCCCTCCTTACCCAGAGTGGGCCATGCTTTGTGTGAGAGTCGGTTGGCGGGAGGAAAAGTAGGAGGGAGGGAAGACTCAGGCTGTCCTTGGCTGGATTGGTCTTACTGTAGGCGGTGGTTGTCACTGGAGGTGACCAGGCAGAGAATGGAGGATTTTTTGGCAAGAGACATCGTCAAAGGGATTCCAGCTTTGAGAGTAGTTGAGATAGAGAACGTTATGTCTAGTTTTGAGAACAGGAGGACAGAGCAGGCAGCTAGGTACAGAGGTTAAGAGCTTGGGCTTTGGAATCAGACCTCCCAATTTAGGATCCCAGCTGGGACTGCCTCCCAGACTCAGTTTCCGCACCCATGAACAGGAAATGTTAATATTATCTCTTTTACATCCTGGTTATGAGGAATCTGCAGTAACATGAAGAAAGCGCTTAACCCAGTGCTGGCAACTGCTCTGATGGTCACTGTGATATTGTTGTCGCCCTCTACACATGGTGGGGGACACTTCCACACCACTGATCTCTGGCTCAGACTGTCCTGCAGGCCAGATGTTTTCTTTGTGATTCCCAAGGCCCCAGGCCCAGTGGGAAATTTTGGACATTTCCATTTGCCCTACCGTGATTTCCTGCCATCTGCTGACACCATGTGACACATGGCTGCCTCTCCCTGGCCAGGATGGCCGTGGGCTTGGGCCTGTCTCACTGCTCTTGTTTGTTCCATCAGTTGACTCCAATGACAGCCTCTATGGGGGAGACTCGAAGTTCCTGGCAGAAAACAACAAGCTGTGCGAGACGGTGATGGCTCAGATCCTGGAGCATCTGAAAACCCTGGCCAAGGATGAGGTAGGTGCCTACTGCATGTCCCCCACCCACCCTGGCTCTGAAAGCACGAGTTTCCAGGGTAGTCTGACATTGGTTCATTCTGGAAAGGAAACTGTTTCATGGGAGTCATGAGTTCATGTGCAAACCATTTACCAAGTGCTTCAGGGCCTTTGCCCCTGCCCTTTTCTCTGCCTGGGACATTCTTCCCCCAGGGCTTCCCTGGGCTCTTCCTTCTCATATGCATGTCTCAGCTCAAAGTGCATCCTTCCCAACCCCATCTCAAGTAGCCACCAGCTGCCTACATGCCTCTGATGCGTTGTCCCTATGGTGCTTGATCACTGTCTGAAATACTGGATATGTTTGTCCACTACGAGTCCTGCCTTCCCCACTAGGACATACGCTCCATGGGCACAGGGACCTTGTGAGTCTTAAAGATGTGGCTGTGCCTGAACGACCAGCATCTCAGGCACGCCTGGTCTCTGGGATCCATCTATTGACCACCATCCCATCCCCCACACCTCAGACCAAGCCTGGCATACAGCAGGTGCTCTCTCAGTGCATGGTGAGTGAGCAAGAGCATGTTCTTTCTACACCTGAGCTCTTTCAATGACCACCACAACCCTGTGAGGTGTAGGAGTTATGTTTAGTTTCACTGAACAGAAAAGGAAACTGAAGCTCAGAGAAGCTTATCCAGAGCCCCTGGTGTTCGCTCTGGTTGCGATAGAACAAAAGGGATTCTCACCCAGATTCCTAAGCATGAACCCTTAACTACTACAGTGCCCTTCACCCATGGCCTTCCCACTTTACTTTGAAGAACTGGCATGTGGTCCTGATCTAACAGTAGTAGGCTCTGTTTTTCCAGCCTTTCCTATACATTAAGTGTAGTATCAAGAAGTTTTCACGAGTTATTTTATTTAATTCTCACAACAGTCCCTTTACACTTTACAGGTGAGGAAGCTGAATCCTAGAGTGAAATATAGTCAAAGCAATTTTCCAGAACCCCTGCTCGTATCCACAGACTGTTTTTTTTATCAGATGCTGCATCTTTTGCATTTTCAGAGCATTTTATTTCTATATTTTGCATATAGACAGGTGATTGATTTCAATGTAATATCTATATAGCACAATCTAATTAACTACCTGGTTCCCTTCCAATATGCTGAGCATGGCTTCCATTTTTGCAGCTTTGGCCCAAACATGTGAGAGATGGATCCCAAAGACCCTGTCTGAGGCTTGGCCGACAGTGTTAGTCGTTCAGACTTAGGCGTGGCTTCATTATTGTGGTCAAGGTGAAGGCATGGGGGAGGTTGCAACCCAGAACATCTATGTATGTACTCCAGCAAATGCTCTCCAGGGTATTCAAGCAAGTGCTGCAGAGAATGTGATTTTTTTTGGACTCCATTCCCCAGTGGGCTCTGGCAAGTTCAGGTGTGCAGAAGGTTAAGCAGTCCAAAGGACAGAGGCCTGGATGCCCAACAAAAAATTCAGAACCGCTGTTGCCCTGCAGGCCCTTAGCGCCTCATAGCTCCTCATAGTGCTCTCTCTAGGGAGAGGAGGGTATGTGAGTGAGTCCCACTGGTCCTCAGTGAGTGGACCCACTGCAGGGGCAGATTAAAGAATGGAGCACACTTGGCTGTCTGTGGAAGCAGCAGCACTGGAACCCCAGTTTCTTCTTCAGAAAAACTAGTTTAGTATACCAGTGAGTATCAGAAGAGGCACTTCCCGTCCCCTGCCTGCAAGGCCTTTTTACAAACATGTGCAAACTCTCCATGAGGGCTGCGAATCATGCTTCTCTGTCTCTGCTTAGGTGGTTTTCAGAAGGGTGCCCTTTCTACCATCCATGAGAAATGGAAGCCCATCACCTTCAGTTTGCAGTTGTTATACTAACTAGATCCTCCTGCCCACCCCCTTGAAAAATTCTTATCATCTCCCCTGATTTCTTAAAACCATTGGCTCTGGCTCCGTCTTGTAGTCCAGGAACCTCTTAGAGCAACGATGTAGGTTTGTCAAGCTGTACCCACAAAAAACTTGCCACCTGGTTTGAAAATTAATTTCTTCACTCTGTGGCAGCAGGCTGCATTTAATCAGAGGTGGCCACTGACAGCATAAATGACCACAGCCTGGAAACCCCAAGCTCAGAAAAGAAATGGAGCCAAGAACCATGTAATTTGCAACTATTTTTATTTAGCATTTATGTGGCTTGTTATTTCTCTTGATGGTGATAACAGCTCTGAAACAATTCTGAAAGAATAGCGAAGCTGGAATGTGTCTGAAGAATATTTCACCTTGTGTAAATACCAAGTACTTTCATTGAAATTGTCCATATATGCACATTCATTAGAAAAATGTGGGTGTACGAAGCTGAAAGTGAACACGTCATCATTTTAACAGTGCGATGTGACGTTCAGCACAGGCATCCACATTGGGGTTCTCTGGAGTCTGCTGATCTCAAGTGCGTAAAACTTGGTGCCCAGCCTGTTCCAGGTGGGAGATCAGGGTTGAGTTCTGTCCACCCGGCAGAGAGAGCACCCCAGTGCTGGTGCTGTTCCTGAGCACCTCATCTCTCAGTGCTGGTAGCAACCCTCCTTCGAAAACTGCCCTCTCTGTCCATGTGAAGGAGCCAACCCTGTTTTTATCATGAGCTCTGTGAAGTTGTTTGGGTGTGGTGGAGCTGGGAACCATGCCAGACCCTTAGAGATTCCTGGAAATGACGATTCTCATAGGAAAAGAATGAGAAAAAAAGCTCTTTTGTATTTAAAACCTCTGTGCAGAGAGGAGGTGGCTCAGGTCCCTGATTTGGTTCTCTTACAGCGTGCTCGGGTTTTTCTGGGTCTTTGAATATTGGTCTTTGAATATTTGAATATTGAGGGATGCTTTCTCATCCTTCAGACCCATCTCTAATGATTTCATTTTTAGATGGGCTGTGGCATTTAAAACCCATGCAAATTGAGCTTTTTAAAGTAACATGCTTATTGAGAAGATACGGAACAGAGAAATTAGCCAGTTCGATATTGTGTTCCTTGTTTGACTTTTTAAATAATCTCTCCTATTTCAGTAAAATGTAGTTAAAGGGCTTCTCTCAGATGAGACTCTTAGTTGGATTTGAAGTAGAATTTTCTTTTAGCTTGATCTTCTAGATCTAAGCAGAAAACAGGCCCTCCTGTTCTCCCAGGTGTCAGACGAGGACCAGTTTAAAAGGGAAGCAGAATGGGCTCAGGTTCCTGCTTGGGGCAGAACCGCATTATCTGATGAAACAAATGAAGCCAGGCAGGCAATTGCCAGCCAGTTAGCAGGGCTGTGCCTAGTAGGTGCTGGCACTATCACTCTTTGCCAAGGTGCTCTTCCTGGGCCTGTGGGCTTGGGCAACACCTGCTCCCCAAGGATTAGGCTCTTCGTGGTCGGCTCAGCTGCTTCTGTGACTGTTACCCGGTCTAGGCTCTTGCCGAATCAGGTCAGTTGGGGGAACCCAAGTTTCTTGTTACTCAGCCACCCCCACCCAACTGTATTTGAAGCTGCTCTTGGGCTCTTTTATCTTTTTACTAAAAAGTCTTTCACTTCTTACCTGGGAGAGGATGGCAGGAGAGGGGAATAAGTTGGCTCTGCAGTTAGCACAGAGTCTGACACTCTGGGGGCTCCACATGAAATATCTGCGGAAGGATGGATGACAGATAGGTGGTTGATAGGTTGGTTTTATCCACCTAGAGTAGTTGAGAAGCAGGAAAAAGTGTTTCGGTCTAAGCCAGATCAAGCCATTCCTACTCCCTGGGTGAAGTTGCGTAGCTGAACTTGGCAGGCAGCATTGGGCAAGTCTCTTAGGCCCTTCTGAATCTGGATTCCTAACATGATGCTAACCACTCCAGGTGGAGTTGGACACCTGGAGCTCAAATCTCCCTTCTGCACATAGTAGCTGTGGTCCTTGAGCAAGTTCCTAAACCTTTCTGAGCTTCAGGTGCTTCATCTGCAAAATGGGAGTGTATGAGTTCCCTATTGCTGCCATAACCAATTGCCACAAATACAGCATCTTAAAACAGTATCCATTTGTGACCTCACTGTTTGGTAGGTCAGAAGTCGGTGCTGCCTGGGCTGGTGTCTCTGTTCCAAGTTTCGCAGGGCCAAAGTCAAGGTGTTGCTGGCTGGACTCTTACCAGGAGGCACTGGGAAGAATCCACGTCCATGTTCATTCAGGCTGTTGGCAGACTTCAGTTCCATGCAGTTGTAGGACCAAGGTCTTTTTCCTTGCTGGTTGCTAGCTGAGGTTCCTTCGCAGCTTCTAGAAGCTGCCTGCATTCTGTGGCTCCTGACCCCCTTCCTCCCTCCTGAAAGCTAGCCTCGGTGGGTTGAGCCCTCGTAATGCTTCAAATCTCTCTGACCTCCTTTCTGCCTCATCTTTCTTCTGCTTTCTCTTCCTCTGCTTGCCTCTGACTCCGGCCTGGGAAATTTATCTGCTTTTAAGGGTTCAGGTGATTAGATTGGGTCCACCCAGATAATCCAGGATAATCTCCCTACCTTAATTCCATCTGCAAAGTCCCTTCGCAGCAGCACCTGGATTCGTATTTGAATAACCAGGGGATGGGAATGTTAGAGAACAGCCCTAGACTTCTGCCTACCATGGGGGGTTCTAAACCTGCCTGCCACAGTGAGTTTTGAAGGTTAAATCAGGCGAGTTGTATAAAGCCCAGAGCAGAATTGCTGGCACACTGTCAGGGCTCCATATGCACTAGCTGCCAGGGAGCAAAGCAGGTGTGTGGGGCTCCTGGAAGCACTGACGTTCTGCCAGCCAGGACCACACAAGAAAGGCCTGGGGCATCAGTGCTCTAGCATCCAGCGTAGACCTGTGGTCTCAGCTGGGCCGTGGGCTTCCTGAAACAGCAAATGCCCATGTGTTGACTTGACTTTCCCAGGTTGCCCTCATTTGCCTCTGGGAAGTTGTATCCTTTCTCCTAGGCCTGTTACATTTTGGAGATTTATTTTCCGTTTTGTCTCTACCATTCAACACTGGGGTTCAAGTTTGGTCTACCCTGGTATTTTGGTCAGACTATTTTTGGTAAGGCACCTCTTACATCAATCAGATTACTGAGCAGGAGAGGAAAGATCTGGTATTAGGGTGTAAAATAGTTCTTATAAAAGCTGGACGTGGGCAACTAGTGGTGGGGAGCTGTTTGTGGGGAGCCATTATTTGGTATTTTTTATTAGTATCCAAGGGGCAGCACTAGAGACTGCAGCTTTGGGCAGTTTGAGGACACCTCCAAAAGAGACATGCTAAAGCCCTCATTTTAAATTGTCCTTGCACAAAGCAAGACTTCTCACTGCAGGGTTATGTTTCATTCCTTGGCCCCACTGACTGCTGAGTCTCTTCCAGTTTGTGAGTAATGACCATGTGTGAGGCCCAGAGCTAAGCACTTAACATGCATCAGCCCTTTTAACCCTCATTTACCTGATGGGGGAGAGACCGTGCTCTCCTGTTACGGATGAAGCAGCTGGGACTCTGGGAGGTTAAGCAGCTTGCCCTACAGCACTTATGTGGCAGGATTGGCACTGGAACTGGGCACGACCTACCCTAGAGTCAGCACAGTCCAGGGCGTCTCTGGTGGGCCCAGCCTGAGCCCTAGTGCAAGGCAGTAACTCCCTTTTCTATTTCAGGCCCTGAAGCGCCAGAGCTCCTTGGGCCTTTCCTTCTTTAACAGCATCTTGGCCCACGGGGACCTGCGTAACAACAAGCTGAACCAGCTCTCTGTCAACCTGTGGCACCTGGCGCAGAGGCACGGCTGTGCGGACACCAGGACCATGGTGAGGCACGCAGAGGGCCCCTCACCAAGCCCGTGAAGCACAAGCTGGCCAGAGCACAAGTGGCCTAGACACGGCGTTGAGGTCTGGACCTCAAACAGCCTAAATCTCCCATTTTAGAAAAGCCCTAGGCCCGGGAATTCTGCTGGGTCACTTCCTAGCACTAAAAAGTATAGCATTAAATGTTTATTCCCTCTGAATAAAAACCACACATATAAATTCATCAGCCATTCTTGGTCATAAGTTGCAATCAAAGAAGTTTTATTTTAAAGATTTTGTTTTCTTCCCTTCCCTCATCCTTCAAGACTCCTTATTCTTTCCTAAGAAGCATTAGCTTGCATAATGGCTGATTTGTTGGAACCCTGCACTCCGAGGGTAGAGATTTATGAACCAGAAAGGAGATGAATCTTTCTTTTTCTTCCAGGTGAAAACTCTGGAATACATCAAGAAGCGAAGCAAACAACCAGACATGAGTCATCTGACTGAGCTGGCCCTCAGACTCCCTCTGCAAACGAGGACTTGACCCCTAAGCCCATCCCCCAGGACCTAGGGGGCTGTGGTGCCAAGTCCAGAAAGACTTGATTTGCTGCCCTGAACTCTTAATGGAAGTTAAGTTTTTTGTTATTTTACTTTTACATATACATACATTGGTATAAGCTTTGGCCTCTACCCAGATTCTTCTGGGTAGTGAAGAAGCAGGAGTTGTCACAGCATTAAAATCTAATCTTGTTCGCCAAGCAGCACTGTCTTAGTGTTTCTTTGCACAGTGGCCTTGAGGGTCTCAGTAAGCCCCAGAGAAGTACCCAATGGGCGTTAAGCAAGAAACAAAAGCAAGCAAGCATCATATTTTCAGGAAAGGCGGTTTTTTCCCCGTAGTTCAGAAAAAGAACTGTGCCACTGTTGCAGACACATTTAATTCCAGCCTTTGAACCCTCAAGTTAGAGTGTGCCCAAAGTCTGGAATTGAATGTTGCCTAAACCATCTTGGAGGATTTATAAAAGGCCGATGTATCGCTCAATTAACTCTCTTTTCCTAGCAAAAGAAGCTCTTGATTGGACTTAGAATTGTTGGTGGATCAAAGGAGGAAAGTGAAGTCAAATTTGAGATTTACTGTGGCTTCAGTGGAAAGTATACTGTAACTAAATAAATGTCCTGAAGGAACATTCATGTTTTTGATGGTTCGTCTAATTGCTTCTGGCTCTCATCCTCTAGAAGAAAGAGAATCTGTCAAAACATATTAGCCTGGTTTACTTTGCAGCCATAATTCTAAACAGCATGGATTCTGGCTACTTTTCTACCACCAGTTTGGGGACCCTGATTCTCCCGTCACTGCTGGTGAGCTTCCACCAACATTATATTTTGAATCAGTAGGAGCATTAATATTGACTGGCGATTCACAACCTAGAACCCATTGCCCATGAAAGTGTATCCACATTGTGGATTAAAAGTGCTCCAAACTATTGTGCTTCTGCAGGGTATACACTGGACACAGATTACATTTCATCTTTACTCTGAAACACAGGATTACAGTTAACACACAGGTAACCTCAGAAAGTAAAAGGGGGGCCGACCCCGTGGCACACTCGTGAGAGTGCAGCGCTGGGAGCACAGCGACGCTCCCGCCGAGGGTTCGGATCCTATATGGGAATGGCTGTTGCACTCACTGGCTGAGCGCGGTGCGGGCGACACCACACCAAGGGTTGTGATCCCCTTACCGGTGACAAAAAAGACAAAAAAAAAAAAAAGTAAAAGGGACTAAAATATTTTTTAAAGATAAATTTATATAAACTCATGGATAGTTTAGGGCCAAGAATAATGCTGTGGATTTCCTGGCCAACTTGATGACAATCACCCCACCCCAGCCAAGGAATTCTGTTGAGAAAACAGCCTCCATAAAGAACAGCAGACACTAAAGGATGCCTCTTTTCCTCGTCTTTAATAAACAAAAGATACAGAAACTCCAAAAGCGTTGTGGTATTGCTCCAATACTCCCAAGTGGCCTTTGTTTAACAAATTCCATTAAAACCATTTTATATACTACTTTTACTCTATGATGCTATTTAAACGTAAAACAGTTGGCAAATTCATAGATTGTGCTCTTCAAGTCATTTCCACTTAGAGCTGTACACGTTGGACAGCATTAGTTCCCAACGCTGGGCCAGTGAATTCTTATTGCTTTTATGTTAACCTGAACTTGAACTTTCACATTAGGTCAAGTACACATTACACCAAAGGAGCTTCAGAATCATATCACTTGGCCCACACAGAGACTTAGATTTTATATTCTTGTGTGCAGTTTTCCCCAGCTCATTACTAAACCAATAAGCCAGTCTCTGAAAACCAGTCTACACAAGATGAAGTCTACTATTAGGAAGGACAGGGCAATAAAAAAATCCAAGCAAGAATTTTAAGAAATGAAAGAAACTTCTAAGTGAGACCTGTGTTAGTTTTCTGTTGCTACTTTGACAAATTATCACAAATTTAGTGGCTTAAAACAACACAACTTTATCTTACAGTTCTGTTGATCAAAGTCCAACTGGTCTCACTGGGCTAAAAATTGTCAGCTGGGCTGCATTCCTTTCTGGAGGCTCTAGGGGAAAGTTTTCTTGCCTTTTCTGGCTTCTAGAGGCCACCCACATTCCTTGGCTTGTGGCCCCTTCCTTCTCACCTTCAAAACCTGCAATGGCTGATCAACTTTCTTACAAGTCTCTTCACTAACTCTTGCTGTCTACTACATTTAAGGACCCTTATAATTACACTGGACCCACCCAGACAATCCAGGATAATCTCCCTATTTTAAGGTCAGCTCATTAGCAACCGTAGTTCCCTTTTATTTTGTAACCTAACATTCACAGGTTCCACAACTATCTTCAGGGGGCAGGGGGCTTTATTCGACCTATTGCAATTCTGAACAGTTCTAATAGTTCACAGAGCTGAATACACAACTTCTTTTAGGAGAGAACTGAGCCCATTTGGCAAAGACTTTGGTGGGCCAGACTAGTTGTAGGAAGGTGGTCCCAGGGCAGGGCCTGGTGGGCTAAGGCAGACAGAACAGGAATCAGACTAAGACAGACAGCTGGAGAAGGGCAACTGTAAGGAGGAAAGGACCTTGCCATAGAAAAAGGTTCAGTGAGAAGGCTGACTGGCTAGCTCAGTTGGTTAGAGCATGGTGGTGTAACGCCAAGGTCAAAGGTTCAGATCCCCATATTGGCCAGCCACCAAAAAAAAAAAAAAAAAAAAAGTTCAGTGAGAAATCCCCAAGGGGCAAACAGCCAAGTTTGAGATCAGGACTAGGAAATATTTACTAAGGTCTTGGCTGTGCCGTCTGCCAGACCTCCCCAGCCTCCATCTCCCCCAAATTCCCATGCCTTGGAGACAGGCTGTGTTCTACACAGTGTCAAGAAATGAAGAACATGGGAAATCACACTAAAAACTTTGACAGCTTGGGGATGGCACTGGACACAGGGAAGGGAGGGGCAGGGATGGCTCAAACCAGTGTTAGTTCACAAAGGATGCGATCCCAGCAAACATCAGAAGCACAGAGTGATTCTTCCAAGCCCCACAGACTGCCCCAGGACCAGAACCTACTCATTTGAGTGAAAAGCAAAGAGAAAAGGCTAAGTTCATCCTGTCTTGGCTGCCCAACTTTCTCTGGATACAGACTTTAAGTTCTCATGTACATAGAAAAGCAATAACCCTTCCCCTGAGCAAAGAAACTCATAAGCCAATGGCGATATGTTGAGTTAAAAAGTCCAACCCAATTACACAGACTATTGACACTTGGACAAAGGCCTGACCTGACTATCTCACCCCAATGAGAGCTGTTAAGTCACCAAGGATTGGATGGAGGCAGGACAGTGGAAGATCAATCATCTATTCTCCAGAATCATACAAGAGACGGCTGAGCACAATCATTTTTGAGAAGCTAAGTCACGCCCAAACTGTAGTGTGACCTCTCAAGATAAAAACTATCGGAGTTGAAATGGCTGGTCCCTTTTACACCGAGCGAATTCCTATAGTGTTACGGTCAGGAGATGTGTTCCTCTGTCGGAGCAGGTGCTAAGGAGGAGATAGCTCAGATGCAGAAGGCTGCCTTCTAAGCACTGAGGTGGCCTCTTCCATCATGAAAGGCCAAGTTCATGTTCTGAGGGAAGGGGCCCAAACGGGTCCTTGCTAGCACCCACTTGTAGGACTATTGATCTGGCCAACACTTTTGGGTCAGGGGTCAGAGGTCAGAGCCCACGTAAGACCATTTGTCTAAAGTGCCAGTAGTCTGGGCAGTAGTGGACACCATGCTTATCTCTCCAGCATCAGCTTCTCACTCTTGACTTTCCCTCCCATGTCAGGGGCTGGTGCAGGAATGGGCATATGAAACAAAGTCCCTTGAGGGCCTTCTGGAATTTTCCTTGAACCAAAAAAAGGTTTTTCTTTTTCCTCTGGAATGTTCTAGGGAACCGATAGCCTGGAATTGCTACTGTCATCCTTCTACCAGTCTGAAGCTAACACAGGACAATGGAACAGAGAGAAAACGAATGTTTCCTTGGTGAGCTGCTGAATCAGCCCCCTCCATCGGGACCTCCTGCCATTGAGATTTTGGATTTCCTGGCTGGTTAGGCCTCCTACCTGGGCTGGGATGTCCTACAGGAGGTGTTCAGGCCAAGTGATGTGAAAGTGTCCCCATCAGAACCTGTATTTGGGGATGCAAAAAGCTGGGAGAATGGAAAGAAGGTGGTCACTTGGATAACTATACCTGGAACTGTCCGAGGCTTGCTGTGGAATCCAGGCTTGGAAACACTGTCCCTGCCATTACTGCTGAGGCAACTTCATGTGTTACCCCATGGGTCCTGTGCCTCCTTGGATTCAACCTCCACCACAGAAGTCACCTGGATTCTCTTGCTTATGACCCAAAGGAATCTAATAGAACACAACCTGGGAACTTGCCATTGGTTTACTTGCAGGACTAACTGCTCTCTAAAATAATATGCCTTATTCAGGATCTAGTTAAAGTACAAAAAGTCCAATCCAAACTTAGCACTTAGGATTGAAGGATGGCAGCTGGAAAAGGCAAGACTGGCTTAGAGGCACATTTCCCAGCACCAGAGGCGGCTCAGCCACATCTGCTTGGTGCCCACTCAGACCCCTCTTTGCCTGCAGCTACTCCAAAATGGGGCAAAGGAAAATGAGCTTTCCAGTCATTGTTTTCATTAATTAATTCCACTTCCTGTTTGAGATTTAGACATGTCATAAAACTTGTTTCCTCAATCAGAAGACATTTTAATCCCCAACGAGTATTCTGGGTGGGAGTCCCAAGGAGGGATATTCAGAGTAATGAATAGTGACTTGGGGTCGTGGTACAGAAGTATAGCACTTGGCACTCACTGGCTGGGTGACCCCAGGCGATTTTACTACTTTATCCCTGAACTTCAGTTGCCTCATCTATAAGATGGGGATTAATTATGAAGATTAAATACATTAATGCAAGGAAAACATGCCAGTATGTGCCTGGCACATGCTGAACACCCAACAAATGTTACCTACCATTATTTACACACGCCAATGTCTTCGGACAGGGATGGAATGTTTAACATGGACAACAGTAGGTTTTAGACACTCACTTGCTCTCTTGGCTAAAACATGAGCTGTCCCCCACCCCAGTTTGTCCAAGTCCATCAAGATAGTTGTCCTTAATCTTTGCAGGTGTGTGATTCGAGACAACAGTCAGAGGGCTGTCATCTTCAAGACTGAACAATGAAAGCAATTTTGGCTGTTGTGGGAGACAGGACACTAGAGTTTAATCTTCTAACTTGATTGACTTGGAAGCATTCCTGTCGATATAAAAGATTTTGTTTGGGGCAGTAGAGAAGCCGAGGCCGGCCCCTCGGTTGTACTTCCAGCTCATGGCCCGGTCATAGTCCTGCTGCAGGTTCTGCTGCAGAGTGTCAGCTGCCTTCTTGTTGAGGGCCATGTTGGGCCTTCCAGTCGTGCGAGGAGGGTGGCTGAATGAAGGGGAGAGATTTTTAAAGCCACCCATAAGTTTGAGAAATTTCAGTTTCTGTTCATCATTTTCAAAACCAGCAGTATCCCACTGGCCAAATTGGGTTCCCTGCAATAAGAGGAAAAAGGTGGTTATTTTCCTTGACTCCAAAATCCTTTCCTTCCCCTAACCCCAGCCTTCCCAGGCAGGACTCAGCTGACTAAATGTTTGGTATGTACCAGGCACAGTGCTAGTAAGTTTTATTAATTCTAACAAGAGCCCTATGAGGAATACTGTTGTTATTCCCATCGGACTGGTGAGGAAATGAGGTGGCAGCTTAACTAGAGACACAACCCTAATTAGTAACCTGCCGGACTCCAACTCAGGTCTGGCCAACACCAGAGCACACCGAGCTGCCTTTCTGTTTTACTCCTTCTTCCCTAACTCCCCTTACCTCACCTCAGCGCACGCCTCTCACCTCACCTCAGCGCACACCTCACCTCAGCTCACGCCTCACCTCAGCACATGCCTCTCACCTCACCTCAGCGCAAGCCTCTCGCCTCACCTCAGCGCATGCCTCTTGCCTCACCTCACGCACGCCTCACCTGTGGGCACAGCTCACCTCAGCGCACGCCTCACCTCTGCGCACGCCTCACCTCTGCGCACAGCTCACCTCAGCGCACTCCTCACCTCTGCGCACAGCTCACCTCAGCGCACGCCTCACCTCTGCGCACAGCTCACCTCAGCGCGCGCCTCACCTCAGCGCACGCCTCACCTCTGCGCACGCCTCACCTCTGCGCACAGCTCACCTCTGCGCACGCCTCACCTCTGCGCACAGCTCACCTCAGCGCACTCCTCACCTCTGCGCACAGCTCACCTCAGCGCACGCCTCACCTCTGCGCACGCCTCACCTCTGCGCACGCCTCACCTCAGCGCACGCCTCACCTCAGCGCACGCCTCACCTCAGCGCACAGTTCACCTCAGCGCACTCCTCACCTCTGCACACAGCTCACCTCAGCGCACGCCTCACCTCCACGCACAGCTCTCCTCAGCGCACAGCTCTCCTCAGCGCACGCCTCACCACACAGCACACCTCACTACAGAGCACACTTCACCCAGAACACAAGGCACTGCACCTCCCCCACAACATGGGGCACTTCATCTCAACTCAGCACAACACAGCACACTTCACCCATGACATAGGACACTTCACCTCACCACAACACAGCACACCTCACCCCAACACAGCACACCTCACCCACAACATGGGGCACCTCACCAGCTGTCCGCTCATCTGTCAGTCTACCATTTCGATCAGTTGGAAGGTGGAGGGCAAGTGTGGATCTGAAGTGCATTTCTCCTCTCAGAGGCCTGCATTTTACATCTGCATTTACATTTTACATCACTGAGGTGAAGGGTCACACAGCTAAGTCAGAGGCTGAACCAGCCTAAGAACTTGGGGGTCCCAATTCCAGCCAGAGTGCTCCACCATCCTTGCACAAATCCCCCAGGTACAAGAAAATGCAAGGGAGCCCCTCCAGACCCCTTCCTTCCATCTGTGGGAAAGGCAAGAAACCCAGTTCCTCCAGAAGACCGTGAGAAGTCACACAGACAGGGGTGAAGCCTGACCTGTGTGACCTTAATCAAGCCATCTAACTCCTCTGAGCCTCAATATCCTAATCTATAATATGGGGGTGTGACATACCCCTCCCAGGGCTTCAGTTGGGCTTAAGTCAGATTTTTATGGAAAACCCAGTGCATAACACTTGGTATATTTTAAGTCCTTGATAACCAGTCAGTCTATCCCGCCCTGCTGAACTCCACACTGCCTGGGAACTTTCTACTTGCAGGCCAAACGCCAGCCTAGCACTTATTTCTAGGTCGGCTTTGGTAGGACAAAAAGAACCAGTCATCACTACAGCTGCCCCGAATGAGCAGGTGACACTCGTCCCAACTGGTGGCCCAGTTGCAGGAATAGTTACAGCTTCCCTGGCCTGCAATTTCTAGAGCAGAAGCTACCTGTGACAGCTCCACCCCGGGTCTGAGGAGAGCGCAGTCAGGAGGCCCCTGGGCCTGGGTGGGCTACTCTCCCAAAAGCTGCTGACCCACCCACAGGGGCACCTGGTCAGTCTGGAGTCCCTGCCACATGCCTCAGTGATCAAGTGGCTATAGGTCCTGAGAGGCAGTGCCACTGCAAGCGTTCCCAGCAGGGCTCAGCCCCTGTGTCCCAGGATCACTCTCCTACCACCAGGTCCTTCCAGGTACAGCCACTGAGGCTACTGGCTCTGAATGATACTGACCCATTTCTTGCCTTCCTTAATCAAGGTGTCCCATCAGCTCTGCTCAGCTGGAGAGGGTGAAGAGAATGGAGGCGCCCAGAGAAAGACACATAACAGAGGCCCACTCCAAACCTGTGGGCCAGGGTATGAGTCCCATTTTACCAGTGTGGAAACTGAGGCTCAAGAGGGAAGGGACTTGCCTAGTCTCATAACCAGCAAGTGGCAGAGCCAGTAACTGCTCTGAGATCTTTTGATCGGAACCAACTATTCTTTTCTGGACACTGTGAAGGCAAAAGACAGAGCATGAGGGCAAGCCTTCCCGCTTTCCTTCCCTCCCAAGTCCAACCTGTTCACAAGTCCTGCTGGCAGTGCTCCGAGGCCAATCATGAAGCTGTTTTCTCTCTGTACCCCCTGCCACCATCCCCAGACTCCTAGCCGGGCTCCCCACCTCCCCTGTGCAAATGCCCTTCTCAACCACGTTTAGCTGCTGGGTCGCCTTCCTGGCCTTCTCCACAGACCACTCCAAGCCCTCTTCCGCCTCTGGGCTCTGCACTGGTTGTGGCCCTCACTGGAAAACTCCTTCCTGCCTTCTCAGGGCTGGCACCTCCACATTCTTAAAATCTTTAGACAAGTGTCACCTTCTCTGGCACCCCACCCCGGCCTCTCTCTAGCTCACTTTCCTGTCTTCTTTCTCCCTGGCACTATGACTGTCTGAAACAATCTTCCTTTGTCTATTGTCCATTTTCCCACCATACCATTCCCTCCACCAGCCACTAGACCATGAGCGTGACAATGAAGGCTCACATCTGCCTCTGTGGCCAGCACCCAGCACACAGTAGGAGCCCAGAAACAAGATGAAGTTATTCAGTAGAATGACTGAGAGCCAGAGCCACCTGTCAAGGCCCAGCCTGTCAACCTAAGCAGCTGGGCTATGTGGTCCTCACACTGTCCTCCTGCCTGTTCTAGCTTCTCAGGCCTGGTTTGGAAATTTCCCATTCAAACTGGATCTTGAAGCTAGTCTTGAGAGAGGCCTACCGCGGCCCCTCTCTCACCTTTGCCTCCTACCCCTGTTCCTGGCAGCCCTCTGAGGACACAGTCCACTGCTGGAAAAGAGTAGGTCACAATGTGTCCTCAGGGATCAATCCATGGGACACCCACTCACCCAGGGTCAAGACAGAGGTTCGGGTGGCTTATCTTGCTTGGCCAGCTCTCCAGGAGGGAGGCAAGCAACCCTTTCAGAAGGAAAGAAATGAGCTTGGGACAAACTGCTGCAAAGGGAGCCAGCGGCGGGTTGGGGCTACCTCTGGGGCTTGGCTGGAATTGGTCTCCCCACTCGTGTGCTCATGCTGCGGGGTTAGGGGGAAGGCAGGCCACCACGCATGGCCCCAGCACCAGACTTACTGTCCACTTCCTGCTTTCAGAAGCCTCTGTTTTGCCCGACTCGCGATCGATCTCTTCTTGCAAGGCCTTTCGCCTCACCTGAGCAAGAAAAACAACAAAAGAGTGAGATGAGACACAGAAGTTTTCCTCTGAACTTGAAACCCAGGACAGAGAACGGGCCAGGGGGCAGCGAGGGGGGTAGGGGTATGCAGCTTTACTCTGCTACAAACGATGTGGGAGGCTTTTGTCAAAAGTATCCTCTAAGCACCTTGAGGGTCACAGTCCCTTGGCCTAAAATAGATAGGCCTCATTTATCCTCCTTAGCCAGGGTTTCTTGAGAATGAATTTTCCTAGAAATGGAAGCTTACCCATCTTCACCATTAAAACATGTTTTATGTGTAATAGCCATTTGAGGTGGAAACTTTCCGGAAACACAATGCCAAAGCCCTGTCTTCTTCTGCACAGGATATTGTAGTTAACTTTCACGAGCCAGGCAAAGGCTAGTCTGAATCTCAGCACAACCATTAACTAGCTGTGTGGCCTTAGGTAAGTCATTTAACATTGGTCTATTTATCCACAACAGACAGAAGTATCACCTAGCTTGTAGGGTAAATGGAAGAAATAGAAATATCTACGTATAAAGAATCTAGTAGCTGGGTGGGCCACTAGCTCAGTTGGGTAATGCGCAGTCTTATAACACCAATGTCATGGGTTTGGATCCCCATACTGGCCAGCCAAAAAAGAGCCTAGTAGAGTGCCAAGCACACAGTTGGTCTATCTTATACATGATTGCTAGTATGGCTAAGGCCACCAGTGGAGCACCCTGCTGTTCGATATATAAGCTTCCAGGCCTTATCCTCCCTCCCAAGGGTTCAGGTGCAACTTTGGCTGCCCCAGTTTGTGCCTTTTCATCTGCCACAGGCTGTGAAATGGGGTGACCATTTATGTAGTTTAAAACTACATAAAACAAGAGAAAAACTGACAGCACCTAGATGAAAAGGAAAATGAAGGAATATACAACATAGAGTTAACAGAAATTATCCCTAGGTGGTAGGATTTCAGGTGGGAGTTTTTTCCCCCAAGTATATTTCCCATTTTTTAACATAATAAACTTTTAGTATCTTATGGGAAAAACAGAGGAAGGGGTTCACATACACTGAGGCCATCTCAGTCATTCCAAATGGTTAGAAATTTTCTTAGAAATTATATTCAATAGGCACAAATAAATACAAAGCACAGGCAGGCCTTGCCCATATGAAATGCACGGGCACTGTGCTGGGGGCCTAGGAAAGGAGCTGAGGAAGGGCCCAGGGCCTGGATGTGTCAGGGCCTGGATGTGTCTGGCCTCTGCACGTGTCCACCCGGTCACATTCCAGCAGCACTGCCCTGGCAAGCCAAGTATGACTACGACCTACGGAAAGGCTGGTGGGCTTCCTTTTCTGGGGGCCAGCACTTTGTGCCAGGCCCTGGATGGAGGCTCAGTCATTGATCTCCTTGGCCTCACTATGAGGTTTCCTCCAGACCTGGACTTGAAGTCTTCTCCAGGAAGAGTCCCCCAGTGCCCTAAAGCAGGTTTGGCACTTCGGCATTTCTAGGTCTCTCTCCTCATGCTCAGCCCACTTCTAAATGCTTGCTCCATTTTCTCTCTCTCTCCCAGAGCACAAGGGCCATGGGACAGGGGCCATCTGGGCCTCACACCCTCACACTCTGCAGCTTCTCTCACGACACTGACTCAGCTCTCAGCAATTCCTTGCTGATGAAACATGAGGACGGCAGTCAGGGTAACGCTGCTGTCTATTAAGCACAGACACGAGGCCTTCCAAACACAACCTCATGTGGTCTTCACAGCAACCCGTGCAGCACGTACTGCCATGATCCCTACCCCAGAGGGGGAAGCGAGGGTCAGCGAGCTTAGTGCCTGGCCAGGTCCCCTGGTTAGTCATGGTCCAACGCCAGGCCTATGTTAGGCCTCTGTCCTGCCTTGGGATCCAGGGTCATAAAAATACCCCACTTCCAGAAAGTCCATTTTCACATAGGACACATTTGCAAGGGGATCTGGGCACGACAAAAGTTGGTTCACAACAGAATAGCTTCTCCTCTACATGTTCCTGAATTAGCCCAGGAGGCGGCAACCTGAGGGCCTGGCTGAGCATGTGTCCCCCACCCCAGCTGCAGGGTCTGAGGGACATGCCCCCCACCCCACTGTGGGTTACAGGGAATGACTAGGTGGGCCAGGCGGCTGGAGGGGTCTCCTGGCATGAAGTATGGGAGGGTGTGAGTTCCCTGCCCTGGAGGTGTGCCACTGAAGTTGGCCAAGTGGACTTTGGAGTCCCTGGTGTCTCTGAGACCAAGATCTTGCAGCCTGGTAGGCGACAAGCATACCTCTGGTGGGAAAGGGGGGAGTGGTGGGCAAGAGGCACGGGAGGGGCACAAGGAAGATCTGGGCCATACCTGATCTATGTGCATCTCGTCCATGTTGCCTTTCTTTTCCAACACCACCTCTAAGTCTGTGTCTGGCTCCTGCGTGAGAGGGCAGAGGTGGGTAAGGTTCCAGCATACAAGGAACAGCCTCAGCCTCAGGAGCCCAGCAGGGGCCAGATCTAGACAAATCGCAGAAAAGACCCAGACCACAGCATCACCCCAACCCCAGCCACCTAGGTAACATCTCCCAGTCGACAAAGCCCTTCCCATCCTTTCTCTTCCATGATTCTCCAGCCCAAAATGGTGACAGAATGAAGAAACTGAGGCTCAGGAGAGGTAAAGTAACCACAACAAGGTCACCCCATGGCTCAGGGACAGGGCTGATTCTCCTGACTCTGGGCTTGGTGTTACCTGTCAGAGGAGAAAGGCCAAGGGCCTGGCTGATAGCAGTGGGGTGGGGCTGGCAGGGCCAGGGAATGCAGGGGTGGCTCAGGGATTTGCCAACAAACTGACCACTCGATCCCACCCAGTGCTCTCCTCCACACCGCCACCACCAGGTCCTGGTCACCACATTCTCTCCTGTGTGGACAACCATGACACTCTCCAATCTGCTTCCCTACCCCCACCCCTGATCCACTCTACACTGCCATTCAATGCGCTTTAACAGCTCAAACAGATCATGTCCCCTCCCTCCCTCAAGCCCACTAGGGCTCCCATCTTGTTCATATGAAAATCCAGGCTCCCCATCACTTGGCCCCTGTCCACCTCAACTCTACCACTGCCCAGTTCACCCAGCGCCCGCTGCCAGGCTGCTGTGTCCCTCTAGGACTCTGCTTGCCACTCCCTCCCAGGGAAGGCCAAGGCCCACGCAGGTGTCAGCTCCTGTGCTGTGTCCTCACTGGGCCTACCCTGACCATCAGCTCGCAAGACATCCTCCAACAGCAAGACCTCAGGCCGGACACTGTCCCCTGGTCCCTTGGTAATGACATCTGCTGATATTTCGCGCATCCTTCAAGTGTGCCCTGCGGGGCACCTGGCATCACACAAGTGATGATCCACAGGTGACTCTCTTGGTTCGCATCACTTGTGCAGACCAGAGAGACGTGTGCATCTGCCTGACTCTGCAGGCTGCTCTGGCAGCCCAGAAAGTCCCCACATGGGAGATGGTACGCAGAAGGGACTACATTTCTTTGGGCTCCTGAAAGGGACTCTAGATTCTGATGGGGGCTGGCCTCCAAAGCCTCTAGGGTTCCTCCTAGCCCCAAGTTTCTGAACGAAGGAGGCTACTGGTGACACAAGTCTAATGGACTAGCACAAAGCTGGGGGAAATCCAGCAACCAGAGCTAACTCCTGTCGACTCCCAACATGGAGGCCACCCCTGCCCTCCCCAACCCTCACTGGCCACAGATACCCTCCTGATGACCCAGCTTCAGTGGGTTCATCCCTTCAGTCGGTATTAATGAGCCCCTTCCTCTGTGCCAGGCCCACCCATCAGCCATCATTACTACGCTGCTTGAGGGCCACAGGACAGTGGCTGGTCTGAGTTCACCCAGCTAGTTGGTGCAGAGTTGGGAAGGGAATCCAGGGCTTGTTCTAATGGAAGACAGTCATTTCTTGGGCTATAACACTGGCTTCTGTGAAAGGTTCCATAGGGATGTATGTAACTCCAAGCTCACAAGCCAGACTGTGTGGGCTTGAATCCCAGCTCCTCCTCTTACCAGCAGGATGACCTTATTTAGCTCCCTTGAGATTCAGTTTCCTAGTCTGTTTTTTTTTTTTTTTCCTTTTTGTCTTTTTTCGTGATGGGTAACAGGATCACAACCCTCAGTGTCGCGCCCATACCGCGACCGGCAACGGGATTGCAACCCTCGGTGTCGCGCCCGCACCGTGCTCAACCAGTGAGCCGACCGGTCTCTATATGGGATCTGAACCCTCGGCGGGAACGCCGCCACGCTCCCAAGCGCCACACTCTACCGAGTGCGCCACCGGGCCGGCCCTTCCTAGTCTGTTAAATGGGGATAACCACAGCAGCCAGCTCACCAGACTGGTATGAGCATGAAACAGGTCAATACGTGATGAGCACTCAGCACAGTGACATGCATACAGTAAGTGCTCAAGAAACCTGAGCCACCAGCCACTCTGATGGGCCAGTCATCTGCTTGGAAGACATGTGCCACGAAAGCAGGCACATACCATGCAACAGGACACACACGATCCTGTTTCTGCACACATGTCCACGTGCACACCCTGAGGACAGGAATGGTGGCCTGGACCTATGGAGGCACAGCTGGGAAAGGCTGGGGGTCTCCACCCTCCCCTCCTCCACTCAAGGAAGCCTGTCAGGATGGAGAAAGGGGGTCTCTGTGGTTTTCACCAGGTCATCTCCCATTCCCTTACTCCTGGGAACAGGATCCCACTTCTCCTTTCAGAAACTGCCTCCCCATCACCTCAGATGGTGCACTTTAGGTGGGACTGACACCCTCAGCCCCTCACCCCTGGTTTCAGATCAGGGCTTCTGGCTGGAGTAACCCAATTGAGGCCTATGAGAGCAGCCCTGGGGCTTTTCCTGTAATCGTTCTAGAGGGGCCACTCTTCTTCCTTTCAGGGGTGACTGAGCTACTGGGATGAAAGTCTGGAGCTCCTGGGGATACCTAGCCATTGGGTGGGGGGTGGGGAGTGGGGAGGAAAACTTGGAGTAAAGCCAGGATAGAAAAAAATACAAAGCCCAGGGCCGAGGAAAGCCAAACAGGCATTTCCTGACATCCCAATCTATGTGTTTCCTAAAGTGCATATACTGAGCTCAGATGGCTACAGGTACAATGTTATCTCAAACTATTTGGATCCTGAGTTTTGGATAGCAAGTGGCAAGAGTTCAGAAAGCAAGGGATTCATCTGAAATGTCCCAATTTATTCGAATCCTGAGTGCAGACAGTGAAAACTTGAGTAGGGTTTTGATAGCAAAGGATACCTGTATTAGTGATGCTAATACACAAGCCCCTGGATCCAGCCATGCCTGAAGTTAGCTTTCCAATGACATGTGTCCATTAACCCCCTTTTCTGGCTGAACTCAATTTAACCAGGGTTCTGGCAGCTAAAAGCATGAGTGCCCTTGCATGTGCAAACATGCACACACACACCCCCAATTCCCACCCTCATTCTTCCAATTCAGAGTCATTTCTGAAGGAAAACCTACCTCCTTCCAAGGGTCTCCTGCCACCTTGCTCTCTTTCTTCTTCTTTTTCTTCCTTTTTAGAGGCAACTCCTCAATGACTGGCTGCTCTCCCTTTTTCTTGGACTTCATCTTCTTCTTTGTTGGGGCCTTAGGGCCATCTCCAATTGGGATGTATTCTGGAGCCTCAACTTTGACTGGCTTCTTTTTACTTCCTTTCCTAGGGCTGCTGTTCACGGAACTAGAGAGCTTGGAGGAGACTAGGAGGGTGTCTCTCTCCTGGTGGATTTTTTTTTTCTTCTTCATCTTCCCACTGTGATCCCTGGGGCTCCCCTGCTTCCGTTTCTGCACCAAGGCTGCCTGGTCCTCACCCTCCTTTCCCACTGGGCAAACAGACAGAGCATCCCTGGCCTCACAGAACCAAGAGTCCTGGACTGAAAAGGCTGCAGTGTCCTGGGCCTTTTTTTCCTTCTTGCGTTTTTTGAGCTCCTTGCCAGCTCTGGCCACCTCCTCACTCTGTCTGGGGTCTGGGGAAGTCTTTATGCCTGAGCCATGGGACACGGTTGGAGATAACAAGGACTGCCTCTTCTTTTTCTTCTCCCCAGTGAGGTTCTCCAAGTGACCGAGGGCCTGCTTCCTGGGGCTGGGTGACTTCTCTGTCTGTCTGATACACAGTGTAGTCTCAGATTCTAGGTGCTCCTCATAAAGGGTGCTGTGGCCCTTCTTTTTCTTCTTTTTCTTCACTAGAAGGATCTCAGGTGCCTGCCCTTGGGCTACATTCTTAGAGGGGGATGTGGCTCTTACAGGACAAGCATCAGCGAAATAATCGTTATTTTTTAAAATTGAGTATTGAGTCTCTGGTTCTTTGACTACCTTCTTCTTTTTTTTCTCCAGGAGCCCAAGGCCCAGGTCTACTTTGTGGGTCTTGGTGATCATTTCTAAAAAAGAAATGGTACAAGTTATGCCCATACCAAGCCACTCTGTGTTCAATTCTACTAAGCACTGCCAAGAGTCATGTTTCTATGAGTAGACGGTCTGAAATACTAGGGGGAAATGGTCATGATTCATTATGAAGCAAAAGGAAATATGATAGAAGTAGCACCAAGTTTAAATTCAGACAGTGCTAGGTTCAAATCCAAACCCCTGTCTCACCTTGAATCAATCACCTAAACTCCCTGAGCCTCAATTTCCCCATCTGGAAAATGGTGAAAAATAACACCTCCTTCCTCAGAGGAGTGTTGGAAAGAATAAACATTTGGACAGTGGGAGGGAAAGGTCAGGAGCTTCTCCATTGTGCAGCCTTCTTCAACCTCAGAGTCCAGAGGGTCCACACTGGACATGGCTCTCTCTTAGCAACTTCAAAGAGCCAGGCCAGGCCTGGACTATAGCTCAAGTTCATTCACAACCCCCTCCAGGAGCACCTGGAGAGTCACAGTAGTAACTATACTCATTCATTCATTCTTGTCTATCTTGTTTCCTGGTGTGTTCCTAGAGCCTGGCTCAGTGCCTGGCACATAACAGGTGCTCAATACTCACTGAACAACTGACTGAATGAATACCAGAGCTACAGAGATGAACAAGGTAAAACACCAGCCACCAAGAAGCAGGTAGTATAACAGCTTATAAGGATATAGATGATAAAAGCAAAGACAGCAGTAAGGTCCAGGTGATGGAAGTCATGTAACCTGCCCTACCAGTTGTCAGAAAAGTTTCTGAAGAACAGGTTTCCAGCTTGGGTGATGCAGGATGGGGGTGTTAATCCTTGAGACAAAGGAACAGAAGGTGGGGTAGCTGGAGGAGACAGGCTGGGTTGGACAGATGCCTTGAGAATATCCAAGTAGAAATGTTCACTGATGAACAGGTGGTCACCTTTCTGAGGCTCAGGGGCGACTGCGCTGACATGAGTGACATAAAAAATATATGGATGGTAACTAAGCCTTGAACAGAAAGAGCTGGAGACAAGACCTCACGAAACGCTGACATTTAAATAGGTGAGCAGAGGAACAGAGGCTTGCAAAGGACAAGGAGAAGGTGCAAACCTGGAGAGGGGGGTTGAGTCAAGGAAGCCCACAGTACTTTAGGATGGGGGAGTGGCCAAGAGGTCTGATAAGAACAAAGAAGCCAAGGGGAGGTGGGAGGTCAATTTCATCTCCTTCTCTCCCCATCTTTGCCATTCGGAAGACTGCAGTTCCCCCTTCTTCAGCCCTGCAACTCCAAATGTATTCACTCGAGGAAAAGGGAAGAGGAAATTAACCTTACAGAGCATCTCCTGCAAACGATTTCTCCCAAAGCGCTTTTAAATTCCCGCGATAGCCTCGTGATGATCGGTGTGAATATTCCACCTCCGAAGCTTTAGAGATTTTAATTCACTTGCTCAGTGTCCCAAGTCAGCAAGTGGCAAAGCTGGGATTCGAACTCCAGCCCACAAGACTTCAAGAGACCGTGCAGCAACACCCCACTCCCACCGCAGGATCACTAGCTGGACGCAGGGGAGCCAGGAACTAAGATCCGTCCCTTCCAGGGCTCGGCTGCGCCATAGCTGCAGCAGAAACACAGCGAAGGATTACGCGGGGCCCCGGGCCGAGCTCCGAGGAGGGAGAACTTCCTGGAGGCGGCTGTTTCAGGGCTGGGGCGGGAGCACACCGACTACTGGGGGGTGTGTTGGGGCTGCAGGTCGCCCGCTTTTACCCCCTCTTGCCGCTCAAATACCCAGGCCCAATCTCCAGACTCCGCGCCGACCCTCCTGCCTGGCTCTCCCCAACCACTCACCCGCAGGCCAAAAGTCCCCACTTCCACGTGAGAGCCCGCTCCGCCGTGACCCGGAAATCAATTTCGAGTCCCTGGCCCACCCCCTCGAGTTCCGGCTTTTTCCGGGTCGCGGCCGCGCGGCGAACGCGGTTGCCGTAGAAACCGCGGCCATGGCGGCGCCGCCACAGGAGCCGAGGGGCTCCGCAGACTCGTTGGTCACCACCCGGAGGCCAGTGCCCACTGTGTCGTCCGTATCCCACGAGCTGCCTGTCTCGCCGGGGCAGGTCGCCGAGCCTCCGGGCAAGAGCCTGTGGGAGCAGATCTGCGAGGGTAGGCAGCCCGGATGGCCGAGAGGAGCGGGACCCGGGTGGCCGGCCGGGGACCGCGTTTTCTGGGCTCCCTCTGTGCGCCAGACGGCTGACGTGCCAGGCCGCCGGTCAGCCTCGTCCCAGACCCGCCGGCCTCCGCGTCTTACGCACGGGTAAACTGAGGCTCGGAGAGGCCGGCCCGAGGTAGCGCAGCGTGGCCTCCAACCTCTATCCGTTGTCAGGTCGACGGCAAGGGAAAGCAGAATAGAGAAAGCCGTGTGGTGTGGACCAGGGGTTCTTAACCTTTGTTTAGTGAGCAGAAAAAAGTGGCTGGGGCGGAGACGGGGACCTTGTTAAAAACGTTCCCAGGCCCCGCTCACAGAGCTTCAAATGAGATCTAGGGAAAACGCACTTTTAACGAGCATCTAGGTGACTCTAATGGAGGTAGTAGGTGGCCCACATGTTGAGTAATCACGGTGTAGACAAACAGGTTTTAATCCCTTCTTGCTTCTAACCTTTAACAACCCCAAATGGCGGTTAAGCTCACCTTCCTTTGTAGACCTACACATTTGTTGATCATGAGGCCCTACAGTACTCTTCACTTTCACTGGGTAAGCTATGTAACTTGCTATGCTTTCTGTAAAGTGGACATAATAATGGCACCTGTTTCATGGTGTTAGGAGGATAGAACGAGATAGTCACACAAAGTGCTTAGCAAACTGCCTCATTTACAGCAGGAGCTGAATAAGTGTTAGTTCCTTTTTTTTTTTTTTTTTAAGATGACCGGTAAGGGGATCTCAACCCTTGGCTTGATGTTGTCAGCACCACGCTCAGACAGTGAGCAAACCGGCCATCCCTATATAGGATCCGAACCCGCCGCCTTGGTGTTATCACCACCGCACTCTACCGAGTGAGCCACGGGCCGGCCCCAATCAGTGTTAGTTCTTAATAAATAGTGTTGGGTGGTGGTTTTTTTTCTTCCCCCTCCACTAGGCTGTAAGCTTCTCAAGGTCAAGGACTCAGAGTGTTCATTCTTGTGGCCACCATTACTATCTCAGCTATCTGAAACATTGCTGTCCTATAGAACTTTCAGTTATCTGTGCCGTCAGATATGGTAGCCACTAGCTATGTGTAGTTATTGAGCATTTAAAATGTGGTTAGTGCAACTGAGGAACTGAATTTCTTATTTTACTTAATTTTAATAAATTTAAATAGCCACATGTGGCTAGTGCCTATTGTATTGGACAGTACAGATTAGTAAATATTTATTGAATGGGAAAAAGATGAATGCACCAGTACTGAAGGAGCAAGAGCAATGAGTTGAAAGAAATGGAGAATACTGAGGAGTAAGAGAATGGTGGAAAAAGTGAATAGATACCCTGAAAGGCCGTCTATTTTAACCCCCATTCAGTGCTTAAATTCCTTCTCTAGAATTACATTGCACTAGAAGAATCTGTTTTATTTTGAATGTTCTTGTAATTTCCACCTTACCTCTTAGTCCTTACTGCTTGGTACTATGACCCAAGGAGCTAATCACTCTACCACAAAGAATCCACTCAAATATTTAAAGGTAATGACTGTGGCTGTCTTTTTTCCAGATCTTTTACTTCTCCAAGCCAAACAGTTCTTCATAGCACAATTCACTGGTGGGGTGTTGTCAGGGAAGTTGCTCAGCCTTATCTGTAAGAGGCAGATAATTGGTGTACCTACCTCACAGGGCTGTTGTGAGGATCACATAAGATAATGTATGTGAATGTGCTTAGCACCGATTCCAGCATTTAGAAAGTACTCCATAAATGTTCATGATTGTCAACAAAGAAACATGCTTTGTGTTGTGTTTCAGAATTAGAGTTTATTTGGGTGAAACAGGCCTGTAGGGAGAAAGCCAAGATGAAGGGTTTTGGTGCTCTCTGAAAAGCAAGTGAATCGATGCTTTTTTATTGATTGATTATAAAGTGATAGAGATACCAAATGAAGTCAAAGATGGCAAATTACACACATGGGCATTGTGATGATGATTATAACCAAGAAGAATAAATCCAATTCTTAAACATTTAACAATCTAATTTTCTTTAACAAACAGAATGAGTAAATTCGGTTTCTCACAACAAACATGAAAAACAAGCTGTGTGGTAATCCTATCTTTGAGGTTAAGTATTACATTCTGTTCTGATATCTCCATTTAAAAAATAAATTATCGCAGCAAAAAGACGAGCCAGAAAAACTTAATTTCATGAAGACAATATGGGTAAATATCTAACTTAAACAGATTGTCCTACCTGGCTAATGCTCTTGTGAGCGTGCGTGCCTGCCTCTGTAATTTATTTGTGTTATTCAGTTTTCTCTCTAATCTTTCCAGTGGCAACTAAGGGCTTTGTATTCTCAAAAGCAATTGTGTTAGTATCAATAAACTTCTTTCCTGCCAGGTCTTCTAATTAAATCTTATAGTGGCTGTGACTTACAATGTTTAACTATGGTTTTAACTAAGACTGAATCAAAGTATTTGGGGCTTCCAGTTTTCTGTTTTGATGTTGCTGTGATTACTCTCATCAACACCTTTATTATTTTCTTTCGTTCACCACTTAGACATTCGCTGGCTTCAGCTCTCAGTGCTATTATAAAATCTGGTCCCTCATCCCACCTGCCCAATACCAACATGAGTCTGTTCTGAATTAATGCTTGTTCCTCTAGCACAGTAGCTAAGCAAGCCAGAGAAAAATGACACCAACTGGCTCTCAGCACTCACTGCTCATTAATCAACATCCACCACTGCCTTCTCCCATCACACACATCTACTAGTCCAAGCTTGTAACTCCCTTCTGAAATGTTCTGTGACACCACTTAGTATAGGAAGCATTCACCGAGAAGAGGCAGGCAATCAGGGCTGGGGAGGGAATCCTCCAACTTCCTTCCACCAACAAACACGTTTGCATCTGTACACACAGAAGAAATATTCACCCTGCTGCTCACCGCTCACCCCTCCATCTGTGCTTTGGTACCACCCTCTTGCTATCCCAGGATCCTGCTCTATCACTCACCTCCTCTACTACATCTTTAACTTCTCTGCTGGCTTTTCCCTCCGAACACTCTGGTTTCTCATCACAGGAAAAACCCCTACCTTGATCCCATATCCTCTTGGCTCCTATCAGCCTCTCTTCCCCTCCCAACCAAGCTTCTGGAAAGAGCACACTACCCTTGTTCACGCTATTTTCATTCCCTTTCTTTTATCAGCCCAGTGCAGACAAGTGTCTACTTCATTTCTCCAAAGGAAGTATTCTCATACATTCAGCCAACATCTATCTACCAGTGCTGGGAACTGTTTTAAATGCTGGGCTGGGCATGACTCCAGGCTTTATTCTAGATACCAGCAACCTATTCTTTACCATCGTGTGTACTCAGCTGCCCAGTCCAGAAACAGGACTCATCTTACTCGCTTCCCTTTCACTTCCTACGATCCCCATGCTTGTTCGCCATCCTTGTAGATTCTGACTGCTTAACATCTCCCGTAATCACTACCTGCCTCTGCTCCCCACCCCACCAGTCCAGGAGATCTGGCCTTTACAACTCCCTGCTTGGATTGCTACTGTAGCTTCTTAACTGGGACAAGCCTACTTCCGGACCATATTCCACACTCTCCCACAGGATCCTCTCTAAAATTCAGATCTAATCACATCATGCTATGATCTACAATGATTTTAACAGCTTTCATGATAAACTACTTAGCTTAACGCCTAGGTCCCTTAGTGATCTGATCCCTGATTATTTTTCTTGGTTCATCATGTACCATTCACCCATATCATCCTGACAACAAACATTTATTGAGCTGCTCTCTATGTGCCAGGCACTGTGCTAGGTGCATTACTTCTCATTTAAGCCTCACAGCAATTTGGTGAGGATTTTGCCTGTTGCACAGATGAGGAAATTAGGCGTAGAGAAGTAAGGAAACTTGCCTGAAGTAAGTGGCAGATTGGGCCCAAATACAGATCTGTTTGACACTCAAGTGCAAGCCCTTAAGCAAGGTACCACTATGCTTCAAACTGTGGACTGGGAGCACCTACATCACAATCTCCTGGATACTCGTTAAAATGCAGATTCCTTGGCATTAAACTCCCCTCATTTCATCCTATTTGCAATCTTCAGTAATTGAAAGATTGTGAACATTTATAAATTTTTTTTTCCTTTTTGTCTTTTTTTTTTTTGTGACTGGCAATGGATCGCAACCCTCAGTGTTGCGCCCGCACCTCGCTCAGCCAGTGAGTGGCCGGTCTGTATGTGGGATCCGAACCCTCGGTGGGAGCGCCGCCACACTCCCAAGCGGCGCACTGTAGCAGTGCGCCACCGGGCCAGCCCTATAAATTTTAATATACCTGATTTTCTTAAGTGCTCCTAATGCAGAACAGAGCAGATAAGCAGATTTTTCTAAGCATCAAAGCAACTGTTACAAATCTAATGAATCAAGTTGTTTTAAAAAGTTTAATACTCTCTACAAGCTTAATCAGGTTCTTTTATGCCTTTTAGTGTGTAGTAGCATCGTCTGTAATCAATTATATACTTCAAATTTAAATCATAAGGCTGAACTGACAAATTCTCAAATATGCCAGATTCTCTTAAACATTACAGAAGCTTTGCTAACACACACATCAGACTGTCCTGAAGCTACTGTATTTTCCTGTACTTCTACATAATCATTTCAATGCTACAAGGGTGTTTCAAAGAGTTTGTGGAAAAATAAAATTAAAAGTTACTATGAATCTTTCCATGAACTTTTTGAAAACCACTCGGATATCTTTTGTGATCATATGACAAAGAAGTTTGTATCTTTTCCATCAAGTTTACATGAACTCCTAAGAGATTCCATTGGAAAAAATATAAATGGCAAGTAATAATTAAGCAAATGCGAATAAAAGTAAAATATCATTTTAAATGTGTATAGAATTGATTATACTTTAGAGAAACAGGCAGTCTCACTATTAAGAGTATAAATTCTTATAAATTTTTTGGAGGAAAGTTTGGTAATTTGGC